AATGATAAAAATATGTTGTTCATAACTAATAAACTACTAAAATATATTATAACAACATGATTTTTATCGCTAACTGTTACATATGCAAAGATCAAATGCTGTTTTCTTCTTTATATACATTCCGTCGATACTATTTCCAGAAATCAGTGCATTCGAATCTTCTTGTAAAACTGTAGCGGACAGGAACTGAGTTTTTGGTGGTCGCTACCATGTAGAAGACGTGTGCCAACGAACGTGGTGGTCAAGCAGGACGACCAGCTCCTGCAAAGTAATTGAGGTTATAGACTCCGCATAGATACATGAAAGATTAGGAAGATGACACAGTTCCAGAAATACAAATGATTTACCGTGGAAATGTTGTGGTATTACTCAATAGAATTGTGAGTTAAGATTTGATGAACTTTCACTTCAAATATACTGCAACAACTGAAGCCTCTGTACGGTTAACTCACTTGTGCTCCCATTAGTATATTCATTGAGACTCTTCTTGTAGTGAAGAACAGTTGGCCTCTCTTTTGACCCAGGTTGAATAGGTAGGGTGAGACGCTGTCTAGAAGGATAGTATTTTCTGGCTGTTGAGCTCAGAAGCAAACAATAGTTTAATGATGTCAACTCATAATAATGCAACTACTGCAAATAAGAAAGTGATCTCAAGAAAAGGCAAACATCAGAGTACATCATTCCACAACTTCTCTCACAAATTGTAAATTGACCAACTTCGTAATTATGGTGACTAATCTGCAAGTTTTGATCTTTACACATTTTGCGTTCAATTGTTCAAACCACATGAAGTGCTAGATAGTCATCTATAATGATTTAAATATTACAACTGACAGCGATCCCATAAAAAAGTCAAGCACATACATCATAAATGATAAAGGCTTCAAAAAAGTAAATATTCGAGTGTAAGCTTGGTGATTTCTTGCAATATTGTTAATCTTTAAAATTTTATATTGTTAACGTGATTAATTTTTATAATGTTAAGATCAAGTGTTACAAACCTCGACAGGAAGTGAGTGTTTGGTGGTCGCTCCCATGTAGAAGGCGTGTGCCAACGAACGTGAGGGGCAATCAGCACGACAAACTCCTGCAAAGTGATTCACATTATAGACTCCGAATATATACATGAACGATTAGGAAGATAACAGAGTTTAAGAAATACAAACGATTTACCTTGCAAATGTTGTGCTATTAGACAAACTTGAGCTAAAAGCTGTATGTACCAAATAATTTAGTGTAGTCCACATCAACCTTAGTTATCAATTGGTTATATGGTTGCAGCTGAAAGACATTCATTGGTAAAAGTAGTATGATGTTTCAGCAAAGGTTGTATTCATCTGAAATTCCTACGAAAGTAGCATTGTTGATTATATGTCTGAAATTAATCTTTCTTGCAATCAGTTAAGTGGTCAAATAGCTAAGAAACGCAGTAATGTTACTGAGATTCGGGCAGTAAACGTGTAACACAAACACAAACCTGGAACAATACTATAAGAATATCAAATGACCAAAATATAGACATTTTGGACCTGTCATACAACCACTTGGCTGATGTGTTTGCAATATCGATAAACTCGTTATCTTCATTAGCGCCCTACAAATATAAAAAAATACAAATGAGGTTCAGTTTTTATCATCCAAATGACAGAGGGTATTTAAATAGTCTCTTGATCTTAGTTCCATAGAAGTGTGCATTCAAGTATTCTTCGAGCACTGTTGCGGCAATAGATATACCTATGTTGCCTGATGTGTTTGCAATATCGATCAACAAATTATCTTCATTAGCGACCTAGAAATTTTAAAAAATAAAAATGAGGTTCAGTTCGATCATGAAATTGAAATGCAGTTCTGTCCAACATGATTGTTGCCTCTGACTGACATTGGTTCTACTAACTGCTGCTGGATACCATTTGGAACTACCACTGTATTGTTTTTTTCCTGAAGTTTGTTTACTGCTGCAACAAATTGTTTGACAGTACGTTCTGCTCCTGCTTCTGTATTATCATATGAAATGTACTTCATCTGTAGCTCCTCATGTACAAATTTGCTCCATGATTTTCCAATTTCTTGTGCCTGTCGACAGTTATTGTGCTCAAACATTAAATTTCTAAAACGATTAAGGTAACAGAAGATTAATTAGCACTGTCATATACATAGAATGTGACCTTTTTTCTGCATTTTTATTGCCCAAGTCTACTGCAAACTTGATGGAGTTGCATTTGTCATTCTGATTTATTGGCCAGTAATGTATTGTTGGCAGCAAACTCCTTGTGAAGAAATCATAGTAGTGGGGATTTATGAGCAGAGATACAAATCACAGGGTAGAATGTACTTTTGACTCACTGACCATGCAAGCCCTTCAACATAAATCTTGTATCTGTCTCATTTCAATTCCAGGAAAAAATTGGTCCAACAGAAATGATTAAAGAACAATTGACAGGGTAGAATATAAGAAAGATTCAGAGAAAAAGACGGTATTCTGAGATTGAATGCATACCTATGAGTGCACTGTGTAGCTAAATCTGAAGTTTTATAACCTTGTCTGCGTTCACGGGCCCATTGATGAAAAGGGCTAATATCACCATATCAAAAATTGCAAATTATGAAATGATGTTTAAATTTTCTAGCATTGTGAAA